CATAGGGGGATTACAAAGGTTGCTGCTAGGGCTTCCTGCCTAAAGCCATAGAAAATACACCATTTAAGGCACATCTGGCAGTACTGTTCACCATCACTTCAAGGTCCGATAGCAAGCATGCTACCTCCTCTGACAGTAGTTGTGCCAGTTTGGTAAATATAATTATGTGAAAGATAAAGCACATAGGAGATATTGTAGTTTCATAAACTGCACAAAAAAATTAAAGGAACCCTTTTTAACCAGAGTATAGCATCAAGTCATTTAAACTTTTGGTATATTGATCTAGTCAGTTAAGTAGCAAAGGGAGTTGTTAATCAGTTTCAGCTGCTTTGGTGTTAACGAAAATTAACAACAGGTGCACTAGATGGGCAACAATGAGACGACTCCCAAAACAGGAATGGTTTTACAGGTGGAGGCCACTGACATTTTTTTCCCTACTCATGTTTTCTGATTGTTTTTCACTAGTTTTGCATTTAGCTAGGGTTAGTGCCACTACTGGTAGCATGAGGCGATACGTGGACCCTACAGAGGCTGCACAGGCAGTCCAACTCCTCCAGGATGGCACATCAATATGTGCCATTGCCAGAAGGTTTGCTGTGTCTCACAGCACAGTTTTAAGAACATGGAGGAGATTCCAGGAGACAGGCAGTTACTCTAGGAGTGCTGGACAGGGCCATAGAAGGTCCTTAACCCATCAGCAGGACCAGTATCTGCTCCTTTGTGCAAGGAGGAACAGGATGAGCATTGCCAAGCACTACAAAATGACCTCCGGCTGGCCACTGGTGTGAGTGTCTCTGACCAAACAATCAGAAACAGACTTCGTGAGGATAGCCTGAGGGCCCGACATCCTCTAGTGGGCCCTGTGCTCACTTCCTGGCACCATAGAGCTCGATTGGCATTTTCCATTGAACACCAGAATTGGCAGGTCCGCCACTGGCACCCTGTGCTTTTCATAGATGAGAATAGGTTCACCCTGAGCACATGTGACAGACGTGAAAGAGTCTGGAGAAGCCGTGGAGAATGTTATGCTGTCTGCAAGATCATTCAGCATGACCATTTTTTTGGTGTGTCAGTGATAGTCTGGGGAGGGATATCCATGGAGGGACGCACAGACCTCTACAGGCAAGACAATGGCACCCTGACTTCCATAAGGTATTGGGGTGAAATCCTTGGACCCATTGTCAGACCCTACGCTGGTGCAGTGGGTCCTGGGTTCCTCCTGGTGCCCGGCCTCATGTGGCAAGAGTATGCTGGCAGTTCCTGGACAATGAAGGAATTGATATCATTGAATGGCCCCCATGCTTGCCTGACCTAAATACAATAGAACACTTCTGGGATATCATGTTTCATTCCATCCGATGCCGCCAGGTTGCACCTCAGACTGTTCAAGAGCTCAGGTGTCTTTGAATTCAGTCCTCTGTAGGTTGATAATATTCATTTCCATTAAACGATGGGGCACCCTTACATTCCTAACACATTACCCAGTCCATATCAGTATAGATATCCAGCATGATATTTTTCCCCAAGGGGAACTGATGTGTTTTCAAGGTGTTTCTTTAATTTTTTTGAGCAGTGTATATACTGTGAACTGTGTGTATATATATATATATATATATATACAGTAATACCTCGGTTTAAGAATGCCTCAGTTAAAAAGTAATTTTCGGTTTACAAATGAAAATCCACTGAAAATAATGCCTCGGTTTACAAATTTTGAATGAATTTTTTTCGCAATACGAAGTGTATGTCAGTGCTGATTTTTAAATGCAATTGCTGGCTCTTTTTTTTTTTCTTCACTATAGCTCACAGAATTAGCTGTCACTTTCCCCAAAGTTAACGGAAATGTTGTTTCTGTTAAGAAACTAAAAAGAAACATTGTTTGCCCCCCCTTTTTCCTGACCTGCCAGGCTGCATGCTCTGAAAAGGGTCTGGTATGAATTTTGGGGAGGACCCCCACGCCATTTTGTTTTAAATTTTGGCGTGGGAGTTCCCCTCAAAATCCATACCAGACACGAAGGGCTTGGTATAGATGGGAAGGGGGCCCCCACGCAGTTTTTTAAATTATTTTTTTAATTGCCAGCAATTCTTTTACATTCAGCTGTCAGTGGGAACCCCGCTAACAGCTGAAATATTAACACATGGTTGTCACTACTAAAATGCCGCATGACTTGATAAAATAACTCATGCAGTATTTATTAGTGTTTACTTTTTTCTGATCTCCGGAACAGATTAATTGGTTTTCAATGCATTCATATGTGAAACGGCATTTCGGTTTAAGAATTTTTCGCTATAAGAAAAGTCCTGCAGAACGAATTAAATTCTTAAACTGAGGTATTACTGTATATATATATACAGTTGCAAGAAAAAGTATGTGAACCCCTTGGGATTACGTGAAGTTTTGAATGAATTGGGCATAAAATGTGCTCTGAACGTTATCTAAGTCACAACAATAGAAGAACACAGTCTGCTGAACATCATACTACACAAACATTAGATGTTGCCATGGTTTAATTGCACATAACATGTAAACATTCACAGAGCAGGGAGGAAAAAGTATGTGAGGCCCTAGCTTAATGACTTCTCCCAGAGCTAATTGGAGCCAGGAGTGAGCCAACCTTGACTCCAATCAGTGTGATGATATTGGATGTGTTGCTGACAGCTGTCCTGCCCTTAAAAAACACACACCTGTTTTGGGTTTACTGGTTTCAAGAAGCACTGTCTGATGTGAACCATGCCTTGCAGAAAAGAGCTCTCAGAAGACCTACGATCAAGAATTGTTGACTTGCATGAAGCTGGAAAGGGTTACAAAAGTATCTCCAAAAGCCTTGATGTTCATGTGTCCACGGTAAGACAGACTGTCTACAAATGGAGAAAGTTTAGCACTGTTGCTACTCTCCCTAGGCGAGGTCGTCCTGTAAAAATGACTTCAAGAGCACAGCGCAGAATGCTGCATGAGGTAAAGAAGAATCCCAGAGTGTCAGCTAAAGACTTACAGAAATCTCTGGCACATGCTAACATTTTTGTTGACACATCAACAATAAGGAAAACATTAAACAAGAATGGAGTACATGGGAGGACACCACGGAGGAAGCCATTGCTGTCCAAAAAGAATATTGCAGCACGTTTGAAGTTTGCAAAAGAGCACCTGGATGTTCCACAGCACTACTGGCAAAATATACTGTGGACAGATGAAATCAAGATTGAGTTGTTTGTTTGGGAAGAACACACAACACTATGTGTGGAGAAAAAAAGGCATAGCACACCAACATCAAAACCTCATCCCCACTGTAAAACATGGCGGAGGGAGCATCATGGTTTGGGGCTGCTTTGCTGCCTCAGGGCCTGGACGGATTGTTGTCATTGATGGGAAAATGAATTCCAGAGTTTATCAAGACATTTTGCAGGAAAATGTACGACCATCTGTCCGCCAACTGAAGCTCCGCAGAGGATGGGTGATGCAACAGGACAATGACCCAAAGCATACAAGTAATTCAACAAAACAACGGCTGCAACAGCACAGAATAAGCCTTCTGGACTGGCCCAGTCAGAGCCCTGACCTCAACCCGATTAAAAAGATGTGGCATGACCTTAAGAGAGCGCTTCACACCAGACATCCCAAGAATATTGCTACACTGAAACAGTTTTGTGAAGAGGAGTGGTCCAAAATTACTCCAGATCGTTGTGCAGGTCTGATCTGCAACTACAGGAAACGTTTGGTTGAGGTTATTGCTGCCAAAGGAGGGTCAACCAGTTATTAAGTCCAAAGGTTCACATACTTTTTCCTCCCTGCACTGTGAATGTTTACATGTTATGTGCAATTAAACCATGGCAACATCTAATGTTTGTGTAGTATTATGTTCAGCAGACTGTGTTCTTCTATTGTTGTGACTTAGATGACGTTCAGAGCACATTTTATGCCCAATTCATTCAAAACTCCACGTAATCCCAAGGGGTTCACATACTTTTTTCTTGCAACTGTATATATATAGAGAGAGGAGAGAGAGAGAGAGAGAGAGAGAGAGAGAGAGCCAAAATTCATCCATATTCTTCAAATAAACACACTCTGAATGTGCATCACAACCAAATATTTCATAAACTCTAATCCATCCATCCACTGCCAGTTACAGTACTGACAATTTAGCTATTCATATTTGTCCCCAGCTTCCTGTAACCCTGTCCTGGGCCACCCTAGGAAAAGCGTGTTTTTTTCTTCATTCTCACCATTACAGCCAGCTGCTTTTACATGTGCTGATACTCTGTTCTTTGAAAATCATATTTCAGTTAATCATAAGGTTTCATGTTACTGTAGCCCTGAATAAAGCACAGAGAAGGCTGCATGGCAGGGCTGTAATGAAATATTTTGGTTTTGTCAGAGTACATACATTTTCATGACAGAAGCCAAATCATTCATAACCAAATAAACTTGTACCAGGGAAAAAAACACTTGGATAAGCTTTACTTATGTTACCATCATTTCTATATCGTTTTTTTTGCCTTTCATGGAAAAAGATACACATTTTGTATCATTTATGATTGTGTAAAGAGGTATGTACTATATTGTATATGCACATGCCTGCCAACTTTTTGAGATGGGAATGAGGGACACCTATTAGCAAAAGTATGTCAGCATAAGACACACCCCCTGCCATGCCCCCCTTAACCACTAGCTACAGGGCAATACCCCCTTCCTGCCCAGGCAAATTTCCAGCTTTCAGCGCTGTTGCACTTTGAATGACAATTGCGTGGTCATGCAACATTGTACCCATATAAACCTTTTATAATTTTTTTGTAACAGATAGAGATTTATTTTGGTGGTATTTAATCACCTCTAGGTTTTTTATTTTTTCTTAAACAAACCAAAAACCACTGAAAAGTTTGAAAAAAAAACATGTTTTCTTAGTTTTTGTTATAAAATTTTGTAAATAAGTGATTTTTTTTTCCTTCACTGATGTGCACGAATGAGGCTATAGTGTTGGGAACTGATAGGCTGCACTGATGGACACTGATAGGTGGCACTGATGGGCACTGATGAGGAGGCACTGGTAGGTGGCACTGATGGGTATTGACAGGCATCACTGATGGGCACTGAAAGGCAGCACTCATATATGGAACTGATAGGTGGCACTGATAGGCGGCACTGACTGGCACTGATAGACGGCACTGACTGGCACTGTTAGGTGGCACTGACGGGCCCTGATAGGCAGCACTGATGCACACTAATGGGTGGCACTGACTGGCACTGATAGGCGGCACTGACTGGCACTGATAGGTGGCACTGATTAGCAGCACTGATAGGTGGCACTGACTGGCACTGATGGGTGATACTGAAAGGCAGCTCAGATGGGCACTGATATATGGCATTGCTGTGGCATTGATGCGCACTGAAATGTGGCACTGATGGGCACTGGCAGGTGGCATGGATGAGCACTGAGAGCTGGCACTGATGGACACTGACAGGTGGCGCTGATGGGGCTACACAGATCATCAGGGCACACTGATCATCAGTGCCCTGATGATCAGTGTACATGTCCCCTCCGAGGAATGCCGATTACCGGCTCTCCTCTCCTCATGAGCTGTCAGCGTGACAGCTCGTGAGGAGAGAAATGCCGATAACCGGCATTTCCCTGTTTACATGTGATCAGCTGTGATTGGACACAGCTGATCACATGACCGAGCCGACATCTTCGGCTCTTTCCGTGGATCGGTGATCCGCTGTCGAGGGACAAAGCGCACTGCCGATTGCCGCGCTGCGCTCTCCGGGAGCCGCGCATGCGCGGTTAGAATGGGAGAACGTCATATGAGAACCACCTTGCGTCCGTCATTTTACTATATGGTGGGCGGGAGGTGGTTAAAGGAGAATTCTACAAAAAAAATGTTAGCTAAACCCACAAGTACTTCTTTTCTTACCACTACTATTCCTTTATATTGGCTTTTGAAATTTACAAATGCAGCCATTTAGAATTTGGATGTAAGGTTTAGCACTGGGAAACACTTTTTGAAAGATAAATAGTACATTTTATATTCAACTATATAGATCAGACCAAAATGAGGGACAAATGAGGAGGAAAGAGGGACAGAGGGACTTTTTTTTTCCGAACCAGGAACAGTCCCTCGAAATCAGGGATAGCTGGGAGGTATGTATATAGCAACAATACATTTTTTAACAAATTATAATAAAAGAGAGACAACTGATAGTTGGCCTTAGTACAGTAAAATATTAATAAATATTCCAGGTCACTATAGTCCCCTGCACTCACAGTGTAACGATGCAGAGAATGGCACTAGCATAATCATGTCAGCATGCCTCTCAACAGTTACAGATTTTGCAGGACACCTGAATTTTGTATCCCCGTGCTTGTGGGAATGTTCGTTCCTGCACTCGTCATCTGAGCCGTTGGGTGGAGTAATCTCCTTCCCAATATAAGCATAGCATTATACATTAGGTCTAGTAGAAGTGGGAGTGTCAGGACCTGGATCACCTGTGGTCAGTGCCAGGACAAGGTCATCCAGCGCCCAGGGCAAAAATTCCAAACTGCGCATCCCTCCCCCTCCCAGTTCATGATGTGCAAGCTTAAAGGATCCTACGCCCAGCAGTCACTTGCTTGTCAAAATCACTGCCACTGTCACCACTCCTGTCAGCCTTGTAAGAGGAGGAAGGTACACTAATCGCTACAATAAACCAATGCACCCAGGTAGCCGCCCCTTCCGCCTACCCCTTGTCCAGGCCCTGCCTGTGGTTCCCTGGATGGAGGGTTTTAATTCCAGTGTCCACCAGTGGGAGTTTCTCAGTAGCCAGCAGATCCCAGTAACCAGTTTCCACCTGATGCTGGCTGCTGGGAGGGTATTTAGGCCCTCCCCTATTAGTCCATCTTGCTCCAGTGCTTTGCTTTGTTGCTGCCAGATCATGTTGCCAGTTATCCTGATCTTGCTCCTGCCTTGTACCTTGTACCCTGCTACCTTATTCCTGCTCTCCCTTATTCCTTTTTCCAGTTTTGTTCCCACTTCCCATCTGCTCCCTGCACCCACCCCCCCCACCCCCGTTTTTCCCTTCCCTTTTTGTGCTCCTAATTTTATATATGTTGTATATGTATGTATTCTGTCACTGGGGTTTTGGTTCACTTGTATTTTCATGTTTGCTGTTTGCTGCTGTTTGGGTGGTTTTTGATTCACTGGAAATAAATCTCACTTAAAGCATATACAGTCTGGTCCCAGTTTCCTGAATGTAGCCATGCAGATCTGACCATCCCTGCTGCTGATTCCTGACAGGGAGCCAGCAGTGTGGGCCAAAGAGCATGAACAGGTAAGTAATCCAATGAACGCCAATGACCATGACCCTAACCTCACCAAGGACCAGTGACTCCCTTTCCCTCCACAGAGCATAGGTGTCTCATCTCCCTTCACAGAGAACCAGTGCCCCTCTTCTCTGTCTGCAGAGCACTGATGCATCTCCTCCTTCTCCAGACCACCAATGCTCCACCTCTTCCACCACAGAACACTAGTGCCCCCACCTCCACAAAACATCATTGCCCTCTCCCCCTTCCCCAATCCCTCCACAGAGTACTAGTGCTTCCTCTCCCTCCTCGCAGCATATGTTCCCCATCCCCTTCTTCCAAAGAGCACTGGTGTCCCCCCCTCCCTACGTGGATCACTAGTGCCCCTTCTCTACTTTCAGACAGTACTAGTGCTCCTTCTCTACTTTCAGACAGTAATAGTGCCCCTACTCAACCTCACAAAGTACCAGGTTCTCCTTTCCCCCCACAGAGCACAAATGTCCCCCTGCTCTCCCTACTGAGCACCAATGATTCCCTCTCTCCCCCAACGAGTGCTGGTGCCCCTTTTCCTATCCATTGGGTCATTTTTTTCTTCCACTGACCTCCAATGCTGGCATTTTTTTACCTCCTGTTCAACACCGATACTGGTTGTTTTTTTTCTCTATCTGACCACCAGCACTGGGCAGTTTTTCCTCCCCCTAACCATCAGTATCGAAAATTTTATTCTCCAAACGTTAGCCAAAGACACCAGCGATCTTTTCTACCAGCTTATCAGCAATATCAAAGGCACTTTGACAAATACTGCTAACTACTACACTCTATATTGTCCCTTACTGCTGTACTTGGCTGACTCCTAATCAAAGTGTTTATTGTCCCAACAGTCACTGGTTGCTAACTAGTTTCCAACTATGTTAATTAGTTTTTCATTAAAGTAGGCTCAGACAAAATGTTAGCTCTTTGTCCATATTCTATTTTATTTTTTAAAAATGATCCTTTAGGATCACTTGTGGTATAGCAGCTGAAGAATATTTTGTAGGTACATGGACTGTGATATGTGTAAAGTGTGTACTGCAAGTAGGCTTAGACTATATTTGAAAATGTTCCCTGCCCAATATATAAAAAGGATGATGTCACATGATGTGATAGTAGTTCGGGCCCATGGGGAAATTAATTCAGTTTTTGAATTTGTTCGATAATTCCGATTTGGAAAATGAATGTATCCAAATTTCGTTCTATTTGTTAATTCGGATGCACACGACACCAGTCAATATTATCCAATCAGCTCATGCCATTACTCTTGGTGGATTGGACTAGCGTCTGAAAATATTGAGTCTGTCTGATTCGATATATAGAATATATAGCAATCTCCAAGAAAAACTGTCAAATTTTTCGAATCTACCCAGACCAAAGAATATACAAAATGAATGCCGAAGATATGAAACGATTCCAAAAACAAATCGGGTTAACATAGCAAATATGACCAAACAAATTTCTTCAATGAATTAATGCATCTGAAATGACATGAAAATTTCCAGCGTGTACATGTCTACTTATACTACCATTGTGTGAATCTAATTTTCACCTGGCAAAGTTAAAAATGGAGTGCACATTGCCAAATCACTTAAATACATTATTTTCTCCTCTTTACTAGAAAGCCTCTAGGCTTTTGATATACAGTGCATGTGCTTGTTTTCCACAGATAAAAAAAATGCATGCTTACCTGGGTGACCCTGAGGTTTGGTGTAATTTCCATGAGCCTGTATAGAGAAAAGAGATTTTGTTTTACAAAAGACAGAATGTGGACTACAATTACAATTTATGAATGTTATCTTATTAATGCATACAGTTATGTGTGACAGTCAAGAACAAGTGACTCACTTTACCTCCTTTGAAATAAATAAAGAATTATATAGTTGTGGCCTAAACTATTGGTACCTAACCTGAATCTGTTGCCAAACTATAGACACTGCAGCATTTGAATATTGTTAGCAAGTAATAAATGACCTAAAAAAACCATACTGACTTTTATAGCTGCAAGTACTGGGGAACAACCAGGGGCGGACTGACAACTCATGAGGTCCCCGGGCAATAGGGGATCATGGGGCCCCTGTGTCCTTGCCCAAACTCAAAAAAGCCTATGAAAAAGGTACCAGGGGCATCTCATGGGGCCCCCTACTGACTCGGGCCCTCAGGCAGGGCCTGAGTTTCCAAATGGTCAGTCCGCCCCTGGGAACAACTCATCTAGTTCACTACCGAAGCACTGAAGTTATTCATATCTACAACTCAGTTCACACTGCTTACCCCTGCCAGAGTGCCTACTCTGGCTTTACATTAGAGATTAGAAGGCAGCTAAATCACTGCTGGGAGGGAAAGTACAGTAGTAGAGAGAATGGCTGTATGCATGTAATGCTTGTTAAGAATACAAAAATATTTGAATTTATATATTCTGGCCACAGTTACACTTTAAGCCCAGTATGATTGTACAGTTTCTGTGGAATGTTTTTTTAAATGTATTAAAAACATCACAGGTATATTTACTTAAAGAGGGCCTGAACTCAGAAAGTGAAGATGTTCTATATTTTATGGAGTATCTAGAAATGTTATTTGTACCTATTCAGTACCAATGAAAAATGCACCTTTTGTCTTGTATTCTTCCTAAAAAATAGCAGTGCTCTTCCAGGTATGTGAGTGTGCCTGTGTTTGCAGCCCCATAGCTGTATGTATGCATTGTGAGATCTTACGCTGGCCATACATGGTTCACTTGGCTGAATGAAAAATAAACTGAACCAGTTCCCCATCCACACATTTTAGAATACACCTGAGTACAATAGCAGATGATTAAGTTTTACCCAAGAGGGTGCTTGAACAGAAGTCAATTGATACATTTACTTTTGATCAACTGCAGTGGCCACACATGGATCAAAATTCGGCCAATCCCTGCTGAACTGGCCACATGTGGATCACACTATGGCCATCTTTAGTCTGTTGCCCCAGAATGCTACTTTCAGAAACATCTGCAGTAAGATTTGGTAATGTGACTAGCTGCATGCTTGCCACACATCAGTGACTCAGTAAGGGTCATCATATATGCTACTATCTGGCCATACAAAATATGTACAATCAACTTTAGATTTACCAAATATATGTAATATAAGGACCTACCCAATCTATCCAATCAACTTTCATCTAGTCAGGCAGGCCCTTGTATTAGTTGTTGGTAGATCGGAAAGATATTGTACATTCAGATTGTAATATGTGTAGTAAGCTTAAGGCAGTCAGGGAAACAACATTTTCAGAAAGAGCTCAGCAACCACATTCTCTTTATTTCTCTCAGTAAAAGTTTCCTTTAAAGGTTTTATTGGAAAAACATTCAGGACTTTGCTTGTACAACTGGTATACACCAGAGCCCTGCGACCACTTTTAAACTTCCTCTGGCTCCTTCACTGACAATTAATCACTAAAACGTTCAGTTTCGCTGTTTTACTGTGAAGTGTCTGTAGGGAA